TTTCCTGAAGACACTGCTTTGCTCTGGTCCTTATCCATCTCTCTCACAGTCTTGGCAATCAATCTTCTGAAATGATCCTTGAGCATTGCTCCGAGGTGTGTGACACAGATGTCAGATGTCTCATTGGTGACTAATCACTCTATCTACATCAGGGCCACAATTTAGCCATGGCTATATCTGGCCACACCATTTATTAGTGTAACTCACAGGGTTCATAGCTGGTAAGAATTCTGATGACTTACTAAAGCCAAATCTTGAATTATGTTGTCTTTAAAAAGAAGTCACAAGGGAGGAGGGAGCTCTAGAGATAGTGAAAGAATCATCTTCCCACACAGTGCATTGGTGCTCAGGGCTCTTGGCTAGAAAGTTCTTGGGTGTACATTTCACTCTGGGTTTAAGACAAATGCTACTGTCTAGCAATTTTCTGTTTAAAATCTCTAAGTGTTCTATGCTCATGGAAATGGAAGTCTTTAGAATAGTAAGATATTCTGTAAGGTTGGACCACCAAAAGGTGGCCTGGATCCCATATTTTATCCATCTGTTTGCCTTCTTGTCTATCTCTCTGTCTCTACTCTCCAGCGTCCCATCAACCCCAATTTAAAACAAAGCCTGTTCATAGGCAGAGAGCCTAAAGTGACTCTCAGTTAGTTAAGGAGGCTGATATGTGTCCTATCCCAATAAATTCAGACAGTTATTATCCTTATCAAGGGAAGGACATTTTAAGTGGACGTGTGGAGGGCAGTGGAGCAAATATTTATTGTGCATCCATGATCTAAGCTGTGTACATGCTCCATGATAGTCTTTGAAACAACTCTAGAGGGACAAGACTTCATTCACTTCACGGAATAGGGAGCCAGAGTAGTCTCTCTATGCATGATGTTTAAGGCCGAGTAGCTTCTGGACTTTATGAGAAGGCTCTGGGGTCATCAGGACTCAGGAATATAAGGCAGTATTTCAGGGCTACTACCAGGAAGGAGGAAGCAGAGGCGGTGAGAACAAACGACTTTGCCCCAGCTCTGGGGAGAGCTGTGCTGTTGGTGCACATTTTTAACCTAGCGCTAAAATCTCAAAATCCAAACTGCTGTAGACTCCGAACATTTTTGAATGATGACATCATGGTACAAGTAGAAAATTCTTCAGTGTGAAATTTCATTTCATTCACAAAACTATTAAAGATAATTGCTTGAAATGAACTTAAGGGTATGTGTGTAAGGAATACACAGAAATAGGAATTCTTGTTTAGACTTTCATCACACCCCCAAAATAGCTTAATATATATATATATTAAGTAACACCCTATTTAGCCTTTCTGGTAAGTAAAGTGTAATCCAGAACATATATATATATATATATATATATATATATATATATATATATATATATACCAAATGCTGAAATAAGTACTTCTGATTGCAAGAATTTTGGATAAAGGACAATCAATCTATATCGGATTGTCTGATCAGCCTTGGCTATATAGTGAGTTTGATGCCAGCCTGAGCTGTATGAGATCCTGTCTCAGAAAACACAAATAAGAAACACTTTAGTATAAACAGAGGTTGCACCTCAATTCAGTCATTAGACATGGGACTATTTCAGACATCCAGGGGACATGGGAACAAGTAGAGGGACAATGGTCTTTAAGACTCTCTAAAGTAGATGCTCTTGTTTCTCCGGCTCTTCTCCAGGTGACTGATGCCCCTGAGAGTTTCTCTCTGCAAGGACTGCTCTTTGTACCCGGGTGTTTGCACCTTCAGCTCTCTCTTCCTGGAATGCTATTTCCCAGCGCCCTTGCCACCCCCAGGCTGAGTTATCTGTCCCCACCTGTGTGGTCTCCTTGGGCACCCCTCCATCACAGTGTGCCATCACGCTGCACTAATTGTTGATTTACATGTCCCACCCACTCTCGGTTCTGTGTCTTTTTATCTTTACACCCTCAAAGCATAACAGAGTGTCTAGCTCATACCGGAGGCATCATAAATATTTGCTACATGAGTCAATGCAAGAATGTGTGGCTGTGTAAAAGGCTGGCTTTGGATATAGGGCAGGGTTGGGAGCTGGAACCATAGGGCATTCAGCAGTAAGAAGTGGGATTGGAACGCATGAACTTGTGCACATATCAAGGTCAGGGAGCTTTTCTGAATTCTCACATAAGTTTTGAGTATGACCAATTGAAGAGTAAAATCCTAATTAGCCTTTCTGGTAAGTAAAGTGTAATCCAGAACATTCTTCCTCATCATGCCTTATGGACGAACGTGCCCAGTATTATTCTGTCTGACACACTTGCGCAACACTGAACCTGACCGTGGTTTAGTCATATCTCTCTCATTTTTATGTCTGTTTTATTTCAGTTATAAAAGTAGCTCTAGGACACCTTTCCTTTCTGTACAGGGAGCCCCAGAGAACAATAATCCTGCCCTGAGCATGGGAGGACTTTACACTTTTGAGTACAGAGAGTTTCTGGCAGTCAAATGTCATGAAAATGCATAGAATGTCAGGAATATGACAGCAAGAATGCTTTTCTGTTGTAGCTTCAAGCTTAGTGGATGCATTCCTGTCTTAGTTTAAATAATGTATCTGCAGAGGAGGAAACAAAGACAGGTGCCTGGGAACCAAGAGTTAACAGCGTCTGTGTCTGCTTTGGCAGGGACACATGCAAGCCTTTTGTTGTTGTTTCTCAAAGATCCTCTGTTGTCACAAGGGGAGACTCTGCATGACCCAGACTTGGAGCACCTTCCATACCCTAGGCTCACATAGTGGTCACCGCTTCCTGTTTTGTCCCTTTCTTTTTCCATATCGCCTATTTTTTACAGTGGTGTTGAACAGTTCCCATGAGCCTGTTCCGTTGTCACCTCATATTTCTTATAAAGAATATTAGGATTATCAACTTTGAAAATGAACTTAAGATTGATCTCCAGGCTGTTCTCTCCCATGCCATGGAAACATTGCATGGGTTACCTGAGATCGCAAGCAGAATGCCCGTGTAGTGGGTTATAGTTCTTGCTGTGCTGAATTGATTAGGAAGTAATGAAAAAGTCTACATGTTGGAAACAGAAGCTGCTGTTGCAGGACTGTACTAGTTCTGTTTCTTGTAGTAATCATTAAATACCAAACAAGAAGCAGCTAATGGAAGGACATGTTTATCTGGGCTCACAGTTTGAGAGTACTATCCATCATGGCCAGTAAAGTGATGGGGCACTTGATTGTGGCAAGAGGGGCATGCTAGGTTGCTTGTTCACCTTGGGTGCACCAGGAAGCGGAGAGAGGCTAGAATCAGACTCAGCTGTAAATCACCTCTTCCACTAACACACTTCCTTCAGCTAACCTCCAACTTAAAAATTTATGTAGCTGCTCTAAACAGCACCAAGCAGAAGGACATTAGCCAGTCCCTCTGACATTGATGGGAATGCCCTGATCATCAATGTAAATGCCCTCATTTCATGTCCTGATCATCAGTGCAGATGCTTTATGGGGATGCCCTAATATCATGCACAAATCATCTATGGGATGCCCTAATCTCATTCACAGATCATCTATGGGGATGCCCTAAACTCATGCACAGATCTTCTACAGGGATGCCCTAATATCATGCACAGATCTTCTACAAGGATGCCCTACTATTATGCACAGATCATCTACAGGAATACTCTAATCTCATGCACATGACATCTATTGGATGCTCTAATCTCATGCCTCTGTCATCTGGATTTGGCAGCATGTACACGGTCAAGATGGAACAAATCTCAAGATAAATAAAGATTTTAGAAGTGAGTTCCCTGAGAGTAAGAGGCACTACTCTAATTAGATAATTGGGTCACAAGTACCCCCAAAGTCTTACCTTCTACTTGGCACTATTGGGGGATGGTAGAAGCATTAACAGGTAAGGCCAAGCAAAGACCTTTGCAGTCACTAGAAAGTCACTAGGTGGAACCCCGGAAAAGGATTTCAGGGCTCTAGCCCCTTTGTTCTATCTTTTTCCCCATATTCTATGAGGGGAAGAGTCCCCCGCCCCCCAGCTGCTCTTTCAATAATGTGCTGATTTGCCCAAGACTCAAAGCTACCAAGGTCAATTGATCATGAATAAATAAGCCCAGATAAACCCCCTTTTCCCATTATACTTGATTATATCCTGTATATGGTCACAATAACAGGAAGCTTACAAACATAGGCACCAAGCCCGTTCTGCTTCTTCCACAGTATCTCTTCTGACTAGTTTCCTCTTCAATGCCATGACCTTTAACTTCAGAGCCTTCGTGGGATTTCTTGTGGTATAGGCTCTATTTTTGGCCAATTTCCATACTATTGTAAACAGAATTGCTTAGCTTAATAGCACCCAAGATTGATTTACATCAGACAAAATATGCCTGATATCGATACTTTCCAAAGTTTTAGTGTTGCGTATTTTGAATGTAAAATGTAAAATTGCTATTATGAACTTTGCTTGACCTACAATTCTCAACTCTATTACAACACAACAATGCACCCCATTTATGATGGGTACCCAAGAATAAACAAAATGTTATGCCCCAAAAGAGTGTGCATTCAGATGATAGGAACAATGAGGGAGTCTCCTTTCTTAACATCTGCAGAATGGTCACAAATATAGCACACCAGGAGTCCAGATGCCTTTTGGTGCTAGAATCTCTCACAGGTACCAAAATCTGTGGATTCCAAAGTCGGCTTTATAAATGGTGTATGTTTTCATATAGCCTATACTTATCACACTGTGTATTTAAACTCATGTCTAGATTACTAACAGTGCCTAACGCAGTCAACCGCTTCTATGCTTGACTGGCCAGGGAGTAATAAGAAGAGAAAGCCTATGTGCTTGGTACAGAGGCACTGTTGTGGGTCTGTACTAGTTATGCTTCTTGTTGCTATGACCAAACATCTGACAAAGAACAATGTAGGGAGAAAAGGTTTATTCTGGTTCATGGTCTTAGGGCACAGTCTACCATGGTGGGGAAGGCAGGGCCACGAGAGTGGCTCTTGGCTGTGTCAGCAGGGTCACAAGGCTCACATCTAGCAGACCAGCAAGCAAACAGTACAGAAAGTAGAGTCAGGACACAAACCTCAAAGTTTTCCACAGTGACCCTGTTCATCGGTCTAGGCTCCATTCCTGAAGATTCTATAATCTCCCTCAAACAGTGCTGCACCTGGGGACCAAGAGTGAAAACATGAGCCTGTGATGGACATTTCACGTTCACACCCGTATTTTTGTCATTGGCTGAGTCCACGCCTAAGGAATGCTCTGAGACAGAGAGCTGATTGCACTGCATTTTATTTAAGCATGGGACAGGGCAACACCATGTCTGCCTCTCACACTGCAGAGGGCTTTACTTCATGCTCTGTCTCCAGTGCGTGTTTTGTTTTTTTCTTTGGAAGATGACAGATTGTATGCTTTAGTGGCATAAATTATCCAAACAATTCCCTGCAGACATTGTCAGTGTAGAGAGCCCCGCTGGTCCTGTGTTCCCCTTTTTGCTGCTGGGAGAACGCTATGTTCCCTCAGGAGCCTGGCGAGACCTCATTAAGCTGTAGTATTTTTCACACGGTCCACTGCTTAGCTATCTGAGAAGAAGGGATTACCCTCCCACATTCTCTACCTAAGGGTGTATCAGACCTTGTGATTGCCCCTCCTGACTGCCTCTTCTGCCTCTTGTAATGCTCCATATTTGATATTTGGGGGAGCAAGACCACCCGTGGCATACCCGGACACCGCACCCTGAAGAATGTGATCTGATTGTGCTTGGTCTACTGCGGGGTCTGCAAATGAGATATAAACAGTTATTAGTCACCTGGCACCTTCTAGCCATCATCTTCTGTCTAACTTCTGGTGTTATTATAGTCTGATGTGATGTTGTGGGAGTTTCTAGGGCTTTATTATTATTATTATTATTGGCTCCACACCAGGTATGGTCAAATGTGTGCAGACAAGGTCTCAGTCAAACTTTAAAACTAAAAGGGCTCCTTTTACATGGCCAGAAAGCAGTGGCCCCACCAGTTTTTCCAGATGCATTTTAATTGTCTTCTTTGTGTAGCTCCTGGAGGGCATATGTACAAATACATTAAATACGTCTAGAAGATAACCAATGAGGGTAACATAGTCTCAAACTCGGCCTTACTCATTCAAGCTATCTCAGGAAAGAAATACAATAGGATTATCGGCCCTTTCTTTTTTCATGCTCCACATGAACAAGTACCAGACACTCATATTATGCATTAGCCTGTGCACACCAAAGAGAATAGAAGGTTGGCGTACCCTCAGTCTCAGGCAGGTAAGATGGCTCCGTGGGTAAACATACTTGCCTAACCATAGGAGTTCGACCCCTGAGACCCAGAGTGGAAGGAGAAAACTAACTTGAGCAAGGTGTTCTCTGACTACATGGAGACCCTCCACCCCCAAACACACACTCACTCACAAGTAAATAAACGAATAAATGTAAAAAGCCAAAGAAGCCTTCTGTTTCTACTGAAATTGTCACCTGTCCCCAGTTTCCCATTTCTGTGACCAATGTCAGCATCCTTGGGGGAACTGAACCCTTGACACCCATTACCTTCTTTTGTTTATGGTCATCGCTGCCAGATACCTCAGATTAAATTCACATCTGGATTGAGGATGCCAGTCAGTTCCCCCTGCACCCAGCCTTTTCCTCTGCCTTCCTCACAGCTACCAGAACAAGCTTTTGTGACTGATTTTGGAACTGTGACAGAATGTCAGTCTATTCCCTAAGATTAGCACAGATTGCCTTGTCTTCCTTTTTCCATTTCCTCTTTTACCTATTGCCAATGTAGACTCCCAGGTCACTGCGCTTGTGCGTCATAAATGCCACTAGGGGGTCTGTCCCATGTTTCAACTTGAGTCTTCCCATGACTGTTCCCTTCTTAACTTCTTCTGCATCTCTCGAAGATTTGAATTGATCATGCAGGAAATGGCCCTCGAGCCAGGCTTCTTTCCCCACTATTTCTGACTTTGATCCTCTTGGCCCTTGTAAGATTTTTATCTGCTAAAATCTAAAACACCATTAAATAACTTCATATTCAATGTTTTGTTCATTATCGTTCAAAAAGTGGGACATCTATGTCGACTTCACTACCACCAAGGCTCAGGGAACATTGTAGAAAAGAAGGTGGAAAGAACATAGCAGATGGAGGGAGGGGATGAGGGTTGTGGGGTGTTTTCTTCTGGACGTGACTTGGCTGTTGACATCATGAGCTCATAGCAGCTGTGGTTATTTGCATAAGGTCAAGCCAGCAAATATCCCAACATAGAAGAGTAGATAATTTCTAGGTCCACCCCTTAACAAAGAGCTATTGGCAGCTGATAGTCGCAGGGCGATGGAGAAGCATTCTCTTTGGGTGCATGGCCACTGGTAGGTTTCCCAAGTTCCAGTGGACAGCTCCACCCCCATGCACATATGGATGCAGGCTAGACCTAGTGATTATAAAATATAATAATTTTAAAATAAGACACGATGTTGAGAGGGTGCAAATTGCAGGGCACATGGGGAGAGTTGGAAGTGGGAAATGAATGTAGCTATAATCATATTCCATTGTTTATATGTGTGAAATTCTCAAAAATAAAGAAAAAAGTTTAAAGTACTTGAACATTTGAAATGTACCTCAGGGAAACTTCCCTCCTCTATTCATGGGATTAGATACTTCTTGAAGTCAAAGAGTCTGTGTTTTATTGATTTTATACCCCAAATGTTTTCTATTCAGCATTCATTCAATGAATTTTCAAAAGCACAGAAGCATTACAGGCCCAGGATGAAGAAGACAGACCTGACCTTTGTCCTCAGAGCTAGCATTGCGTAGACTTGTAGACTTAGTATTCTGTGACACCAAGTATTCATTTAGTTTAGCACATGCTCCCCAAATGAGCATGGAAAGCTCTTGTGGCAGGCTCACAGCTGGGAGCCAAAGGAAATGCTTCATGACCTAAGAAGAGCAAACAGGAGAGAATCACGTCCATTTTGAACAACCACGCAATGCCACAGTGCAGCTAGAACTAGCAAGGTGGACATTCAGGAAAAGCCCCTGGCTAGTGCTATTGACCTCTACTTCTCCTCTGGCCCTCTGGAGACTGGAGATACTGTATCTCCAGATCTAGGTTTATACACCTGTGTACATATGCAAAAATTCATCAAGGCACGTCATTTTATACCTGAACAAATAATGCTACTTTGGGTAGCAGGATTTTTCTTTGGACCACCAGCTCACAAAAAAATGATGCTGAGACTTCTTATTAAGTACAACAGCTTAGCCTTAGCTTAGGCTTGTTCCTAACTAGTTCTTATAACCTAAATTAACCCATATCTTTAATCTACATTCTTTCACGTGGCTTGGTTACCTTTACTCTGTACTAACCATCCTGCTTCCTCTGAGTCCAGCTTGTGACTCCATCTTCCTTTTTCCCAGGGCTCTCTCTGTTCAGAAGTCCCTGCTATACCCCTGCCTGGCTATTGGCTGTTTAGCTTTTTATTAAACTAACCACAGTTACACATCTTCACACAGTGTAAAGGAATATTCTGCAAGAACTTTTAATATTTAATATTTATTCTTTTTATTTTATGTGTATGAGAATTTTGCTCTCATGTCTTTCCATGCATCATATACATGCCTGGTGCCTGAAAACAGAGTTGCAGTGGGAGCCACTATATGGGTTCTGAGGACTGAAATAGGGTACTCTGTAAGAACCAGTGTTCTTAACTACTGAGCCATCTCTCCAGCCCTCAAGGTGTTTTTTTTCTTGAAGAAGAAAAATGATTATAAAATAAAAACATAGGCTGCTCATCCATTAATGTGCTTGCCATGCCGTAATGAGGACTTAATTTTCGATCTTCAGTACCCATGTGAAAATGCAGCGCAGATCCAAGATGGAAATCATTTACTTATTTAACTTATTTATTATATTATGACTGTAACATGAGGGTGAAACCATGTGAATAGATTCTTGCCTTCTCCTGGGCATATGCATGAACCTCGGGGATGAGTAAGCAGTTCTTAGAATGCTGGAGAGTTGGTACACAGCCTGAAGATCAATAGATTCTGGCTGCACCCGACAGCCAGCAGAAGCATTTACACAAACGCACATCCACATGAACACAGAGATCCTGATTCAGTGTGGCTCTGTTGGAGCCACATGTAATATATATATTTGGTTTTTTGAGACAGGGTTTCTCTCTATAGTTTTGGTGCCTGTCCTGGATCTCACTCTGTAGCCCAGGCTGGCCTCAAACTCACAGAGATCCTCCTGGCTCTGCCTCCCAGTGCTGGGATTAAAGGTGTGTGCCACTGCTGCCCTGCCTAAGTCCAGACTATTTTTATTGCAGTAAAAGTCAGAATCTCTAGTAAGTGTCTCCCCACTTAGTAAAGTTAAAGGAATGCAGTTGAGTAGTGCTGGGGTGACTCCCTTGTGGTGGTGTTCTCGAGTGCTCATCTTGACACCTATCAAGTCTACGTAGGTTTGGGAGGAACTTTAGCCCAGAAATTAGGATAAAGCAAGTGGTCAGAGCTTGGAACCAAACTCAAACTCTTTGATTCCAAACCTATAGTTAGTCTCATAGCATCTCTTCCAAATTGAGGCATCACTATTAACAATAGCTTCTGAGAAGACCACAGCAATAGTTTTGATCTAAATCCTAACCCCTTAGAAAAATCCCATTAATGACGTCTTGACATGGAGCTTGAAACTGCCAGCCACATACAAGCTGCCCAGCTCATGACTCCCATATGCTTTATAACAGCAACTCAAAAATCTATGTGAAAATACTGAAGACATTGCTACAATCTCTGTTTTCTTTTTTAACATTTATTTATTTCATGTGTATGTGTGTTTATCTGCATGGGTTCAGGTGTACCACATACACCCAGGAGAGCAAGGAGGTCAGAAGAGGCCATCAGGTGCCCTGGAGCCCGATTTACAAGCAGTTATGAGCCGCCATGTGGGTGCTGGGAAGTGAACCCGGGTCCTCTGTGAGAGCAGTAAACACTCTTGACCGTAGAGTCGTCTCTCTAGCTCACAGCATCTGTTTTTAATAGCCACCCTTCCTTTGCTGGTCTTGTATTTTCTTTTCTCCCACCTCTTACTGTTGAGCTCAGTCTGGTTTTGTTAGTCTCCGTCTCAGAGCTCCTTCATCCTTGTGACTTCTGC